TGCGTGGGGAGCTTCCGATCCCTGCTTTATTGTTTTATCAGTCTCTGTTGCTGTTTTTCCTTCTCTCTGGTCTTTTTCAGTTTAGAAGATAGAGATGGGTAGGCTTCTGCTCTTTCCCTCTTATTCTCGGTGAGTTGGCATCTTGACCTTACCCTGAGCAGAGACTGTGTGTCCCAGACTGGGGAAGATCCCGGACAGGCAGCAACACAGAGTGATGTAATTGGACGTGTGTGTGTGTGTGTGTGTGTGTGTGTGTGTGTGTGTGTGTGTGTGTGTGTGTGTGTGTAGTTTGGGGATTATTTTTCCCCCGTCAATCATAACGCTTAAATTCTTTTCCAGACCTCCTAAGCACTCACTGTATTAGAACCCAATCTTTCTGCATGCAATCATATTTAGGGAACACTTTCCTAAACCTAAGATTCCTCAAAGTGTTTTGCAGGCATATGTATCTTGGCTTCCCTAAGACTGCAAACTCATTGAGGACAGGAAAATCAAATTGCAAGCAACTTGGAAGATTTACCTCTTTATTTTGCTTGCCATTTTATCCTTAGCGTTTAACACAATATCCTACATGGTAGCAAATCTGTCAGTCATTAATGCATGAATATTTATGGTGAGTCTATTATATCTATGTATAACAAATAAATGCAAGAAAGGAGACATGGTACTATAGTTATTCTGTATCATTTGGAACCTAGCCCAGAGCTACTATCACGTGCTTCGAGATCTCTATTAGCGAGTCTGTGCTGGGTGCCCTGCCACTAGTTTGCTGTGGGACCTCAGACCAGTCACAATCTCTCAGCCTTCTAGGCTTTAAAATTAAATGATAGCATTGCATGACCTTTAAAATCTCTTCCACTCCTAAAATTCTATAATTGTATGATTATAATATCTGCCCAGTCCAGCACCCCTGCTACTGTTCTTAAGTTCACATGAAGATTTATAACAGGTGAATGGACTTTGAACATTTCAAAGAATTTCTCAAAATCCAATCCTTTTTAAAATAGACAATTTGCTTCTAAGGATTGAAGTGCCCTCAAACTTCTTTGCAGCCTTCATAAACTAATATTCTTTTATGCACATGGTAATTATTAAATTATTGAATGAATATTTACTGATTGATCAAATGCATGACTCAACAAAATAGTACTAATTCCATTTTCTGATCCACTTTTTGTTCATTTTCACATTTAGAACAGTAACCTCCCTGAAATATCTGAATCCTGAGTCTTTGATGAGGCCAAATTGAAAGTAATACAGAGTGATAATTACTCTTCAATTAATGAAACTCTTTCATTTTGTCCAAGAAAACTTCTATGGCAGCAATTCAATCCACAGAGGTGTTATAAAAAGATTGATCTAAATTGTTCTTATGATCAATTCAGGAAAAATGAAAATGCAAGGAGGGCAGCCTTCTCAGCCATTAAACTTGATTCCCTAAAAGTACAAAAGAGTGTCCTGTATGTCATTAAAGGACACAGATGATCTGTTCTTCCAAATCACCTTTACTACCCACGCCTGGATTCTCCTAAAACAGAAACACTGTCTGGCAAACTGTGATCCCTAGAAGAAGTCCTCTCTTCTCTCCAAATTGCAAGGGCTCTTTGTTAAAACCCAGGGCGGTTGTTTTTCTCTCTTCAGAAAGATTTTTAGAGCTTTGCAGGATCATTTGCTTAATGACTTCTTTCTATGCCCTGCTAACCTCCTTTCTAGTCTAGATAACTGTGTGGGAATTCCTCCAAGAAAGGAAAACCAGATTAAAGAATCGGAACCCAAACAAATTCCTTTCCAAATATATGACTAGAAAAAACAAATGGAAAAGAAGAAATTAGTAGATTGAAATTTTCTGGTGTTAGTCTATTATTGCCCTACCAACATTTGTATTATTTAAGTTCCAAATTAAGTTCTTCATGAAGAAATTTGGTAGAAGTGGGATTTTTTCCTTCTCAAAATTTACAGTTTCCACCTTTTCAAATACACCTGTTAGAATGATCCTTTAAAGTGAAAGCTTTTGCAGTCCATTTGCTGGGAGTTCATGGAGAGCAGGCAAGTTTTTAATGCCCGACTTTAACTAAATCTTGGAGAAAATCGTTACACAAATGTGGACAGATTTAGCTCCAATAAGTATTGTAGATCAATAGATTCATGTTGACTTTTGTCAACAAGCAGAAGAGGAAAATGCAAGTAACGTTCTAAGTAATTTCCATTTTCCAGAAAGTTACAATAAATAGTCTAGTCATGGGGGAGAAGTCTCTTTCAAGGTGTTTTCAAGTCAACAGCTCACTAAGCAACCCAATAGAAGTTATTAATATAATGCAATAAGAATGAGTCATTTATTTGGAAAATTGATACCAAATGCTAACAGAGAACATATATCTATAATTCCAATAAGGCTTTTCATTGTACATATGAGAAGTTTGCCATCACTTAGTCTGAGTATTCCCTTTTCATCTGAACTAGTACAACAGCCTCTTTACTGCTCTTCCTACTCCACAATTGCACTGCTCCATACTTTCTCTCCAATGGTCATCTCCAAAGTAGAGTACAAGTACCCAAATGGCCTCCAATGCAATGTATTTTTGCTTAAGAAGGAAAAAGTAAAACCAATCATATATTTAGTTTTAATTTTAAAAAGATTAAAATTTAGCCTTGCCAAAATAATTGAGCAACATAGATATATATTCATGTATATTTATGTGTATATACATATATACAATATGTGTATATATGCATAGATATGTATATATATGCACACACACACAGAGAGAGAGAGAAAGAGAAAGACAAAGAAAACAATTTTGAGCCTTATACTGACTGTTGTGCATAGTCAAAAAAGTTTGGACACTTTACCCTAACAAGCAGCAAAAATAGTCTCTAAAGAATATAAATTTCTTGTTACTGCTTAATACCCTTTGCCAACTTGCCATTGCAAACATAATACTATCCAGACACCCTATCATGGCCAATCAAGGGTTTACTCTTCAAGCAGGACTCTCTCCGCTCATCCCTATGTTTCAGTCATTTTAGGCTATCCCTTCCTCCAATGTGTCTAGTTTTTTCCAGCTCATGACTTTTACATGCTGTTTTCACCTGCTTAAAATGTCCACGCCCCCCCCCTGCACCCACACTTCACATGACTGACTTCTCTTTTTTTGAGAACTTGGCTTTAATATGTCTTTAGAGATATTTGTCCAACCCTCTACCCAAAGAAGAAATTCCTTTCACATATTCTCTATCACTCTCTTACTAATTCCTTAATATATATTATAGCCTTCAATTATTTTACTTGAGCCAGTGTTTTGTTAGTAACTTCCCAAAAATCTACATGTTGATAAAGAACATATCTTCCTTTTTAAAATTTTTTTAATTTTAAAGATGTGGGGTACAATTCAAGAATTCAAAGTTAGGTATACAAATGTTCATTATGCAGGTACCCTTGTTGATGAGGTGGGCCCCACCCCATGGCAGTTTCCCACTATTGCCAATCCCTTTCTTATAGTATTAGGCATGTCTTCCTTTTTAATCTTCTCTTTCTCCAACACCTCCCTCAGTGCCTGACTGGCTGGTCAAGCGACACCTGTGTCACAAGCCTACCTGAACAACTTGTAGTAATATTTTGGAATCAGATGCATACTCTGTGCCAGAAATTATTCTAAGGAGTTTAAAAGTACCAATCCATGCATTCTTTCTTTTGTTTTGTTTTATTTTTACAAAGTTTATCTCAGTCATGTACTGCCATTTTTCCCACTTTACCGATGCTGTTAAGCCACTACTGAGGGTCACACAGAAAGAGGCAAGGCTTCTAATAGGCATCCTTATTCCTAATATGCTCTTGACTTTATGCAGTACTGTTTCTACTCCAAATCCAAATAACAGATAACACTTATTGAGGATTTGCTATGTGCCAGGCACTCTAATTAGCACTTTGAATCATGTTTGGTAATGTTGAGCAAGCAATTTTGGAAACAAGTGAGCATTTTCTTTAGCACGAGGGGAAGTTATATATTCTCTATTTCTGTTTGCTTTTATTTATTGAGGGAGGTGGGGTAATGTTAAAGAGAGTGTTATGTTCACTCCTCACATGATTTTATTGCATTTACTACAGGTTAACTGTCACACTGGCTTTTCCCTCTTCTCCTTGTCCTAGGTCGCTCCATTTCTGATGGATACTTTGGCTTCAGCTTGCACTAAATCACATTATATGCCTCATCATTAGAACAATGTCTTTTAATAGCTCTCAAAATACTTGGCTCCCCTTGGGAACCATTGAGACAAGGTGTCTTGAATTTCAGATCAATTTCATGAAGAACCACGGGGGGTTGGGGGGGGGGGGAGCGGGGGGGCAGTGAGAAACGGAGGCAAAAAATATGCAGTCTATTCTCATTGAATGCCAAGGAGATGATAGGATTTTTTGAAAACTGCCCTTTACAATATTTCTAGGTTTCAACAAATACTGACCTGGGTCTGAATCCTGTAATTGTGTTCTTTCTCATACACCCAAACTAAGTGATATTAGCAAAAAAAAACAACACACAAAACAAAACAAAAAAAGTAAGCCCTTTTATCTGTAAAACTAAGACTAAGATTATCTTTCTGACTCATAAGGATGCTATGAAACTTAATTCAACTTTCCACATCCCTTGGAGATAACAAAACTGTCTTGTATTTATGTAACT